AGCTGAAGAAGGGTCTAGGCCCAAAACATCAGCTTTCCTGCTCCTCTGATGCTGCTTGGCCTGCTGTGTTCATCCAGCTCTACACCTTGTTATCCTAGCATAGGAACAAGCCTTTTTGCCCCCATGTCTGCGCCAACCATGATGCCATTCTAAACTAATCCCATTTTCCTGCACAGTGGTCTGTATCCCTTTATTCTTTGATGGAGGAGGTTGAGCTATCCAGTAATGATGCAGCCTACTGGTATGCCCACATCGATTAGCCAAAGCTGTCTCGGGCCCTCTTTTAAAATAGAAGGCAATAGTGAAACCACACCTGCTTTGGATCTAATTCATAAGGGTATCAGTGATATTCCATTGAATTTTAGTCCAACAGTTACAGGGAATCGTGGTCAGAATACTGTCTTTGACTTGGAGCGTGGACATGGCATCAGCCACAGCTTCCTCCAGCGAACAATGGGAATGTTCCCTCCTGTGATCAGCCTTCCAATTAAGGGCATTAACATTTGCATTACTTCTGTCTGGTCTGTACCGGATGTGAAATCAAAACTGCTCATGTTCAGGAGTCCACAGGGTCTTTATTGCTCCAAGCTTGCTGAACATTTGTAAGCAGCTGGGTGGATTGTTCTCCGTAAACAAATAACATTCTACACTTATCAGAACATCTGGGAAGTAATTCACTACAAAGCTGGAAATTTGAGTCTCAAACTGAAGTAATTCTCCATATTCTCTAAATTGGGTTCAGACTGAATGTCCTAAGCAATAACCACTTTTCTCTGCTCTTAAAGCTGTGGGTCAGGTGGGATGCTCTTTGGAGGGTCGGTGCACACTTGATGGGCTGAATGGCTTCCTTCTGCACTGTAGGGATTCTATGATTCTACAAATAAGGCTGGCAAAAAACAAAGAGTCAGTTTGACATAAACATGGGTGAAAAAATATAGACAGGTAAAGCAAATTCAGGGGATCAAATTTCAGACTACACAGGTGGGATGAGCTGATCCCCATAGTTCTTTTGGTTTTAAACAATGATGACGTGGTGTTGTCCGCAGAGCAATGGTCAATCTTCAATTCAATAGACAATGGCGTGACCCTATGTCTTTTCTTGAATTCGAATTCTTTCTTTCAAGTCTTCAGGTTTCTTTATCTGTCTTTCTCCACTCAAAGAAGGGGGAAGAGATGATTCTTGCTGATAAAATGCGGAGCTGGAGGAGCACAGTTGGTCAGACAGCATCAGAAGAGCAGTAAAATCGACATTTCGGGTTGGGACCCTTCATCAGGACAAGGGTCCCGACTGAAAACGCCGACTTTCCTGCTCCTCCAATGTTGTCTGACCCGCTGTGCTCCTCAAACTTCACATTCCATCGACTCCAACTTCTAGTATCTGCAGTTCTTGCTATCTCCTAGGAGATGATTCTTGTTTGCAGGCTTCTGAATACCTCTGAATGCACCGTCTTATAGGGGTGTGAAACCACAACATTCAGAAAGCTGTTGCTAGGCAGATTTTCCTTAACTCCAACACTCATGGTGATGGTCTGTCTCGAAGTATCCACCTCACTGATACAAAAAGCAACACAATTTTGTGTATCCACAACACCATCTCACTTGACATTCAAATGGTAAAATCTCCCAGGGTACTTTTCAGATATAGCTATATCCAACTTTCAGTTACAATTTCTAATTCAAAAGGAAAAAAAAAAGTGGCCCTTTACAAATATCCTTGTGAGCTATTTCATCAATCATTCAAATTTGTGTCTGCAATTTCCTCAATTTCCCCATTAATGATGGAAGCATTGTGCACAGACATATTACTTTAGCAGGTGGAAAGGAAATCTAAGATATCATACACTCCGGCAATTCCAAACAGGTTGTGACAATTTAAAAGTCCACAAAGATTACTTTCCTAATTTCTCTGCTGTAGTAGAGCAAAGAAAGAGAAGGTAAAACAATAAAATATATTATACTCTCAAGAGAGATAGTAGGAACTGCCGATACTGGAGAATCTGAGATAACAAGGTATAGAGCTGGATGAACGGGTCCAGACCTGAAACGTCAGCTTTCCTGTTCCTCTGATGCTGCTTGGCCTGCTGTGTTCATCTATTATACTCTCAAGTTGTTTTTAAACCATTTGAAATACCTGGAAACCACATGCTTAGGAAAACAATATTTTCAGATATACTGGTAGGGATAAATCAATTATCTAAATTTTTATGCAACTTTTTTCCTTAAAGCGGTGGATTAGCACTAGATACATTACATCAGCCCTTCAATTAAACAGAGACGAAGAGCATAACACAGTGTGGAGCTGGATGAACACAGCAGCCCAGGCAGCATCAGAGGAGCAGGAAAGCTGACATTTTGGGTCAGGACCCTTCTTCAGAAAATGAAGATGAAGAGCACCCTTGCTGTTGTAACATTTGTCTGACTGTCTGAAAAGCGAAACTTTTTTTTTTTTAAGAACAGTGCACGTTAGCACCCATCACAAAGACTGAACTGATTAACCTAGTCTTAGGCTGTGGTAGCTACCAGTGACAACAGGTGGATGAATGAATGTTGCCTGCCTTTGAGCAGCAAGTCTCATGTCAGCAGCGAAATCAAATTTCTGCTGAGAGAAACATGACAAGGCTATTTGTTTCAGTTCCAAAAAGGTAATATCTGTAACAGCTGAGCTTAATATAAATGAGGAGACTGTTAATTTAAAAGATAGAGGCTCCCAGATTACACATTTTAATTTTTTTCCCATTCTTATAATCACCAATATGACACCATCAAACTGGTAGCTCTGCCTCCTTTCTCACCTCACTCCATTACACCTACCCCAAAACCAACTTGATTGACAGGTTCAGCTCCCATATTGATGGGGGCGGATGGATGGTGAAGATCTGCACTGGCAGATTTGGGTGGTTAGGGAATAGAGTGGAAATAAAAGGTTCATAGCCTTCCTATACAGTGCTAACTCTCCTTCTTGGCAATGGATCGGTAAGACAAAACTGCAAATTGGAAGAAAACAAAACAAAGTTGCTGGAAAAGCTCAGCAGGTCTGGCAGCATCTGTGAAGGAGAAAACAGAGTTAACGTTTCGTGTCCGGTGACCCTTCCTCAGAACTGCAAATTGGCAGGTTGGAAGTGGGTCTGGGTGAAAATTCTGATTTTTAAAAGTTTAGCAGCTCTCCCCCACCAGCCTGTGTTTTTTTCAGGTTAGAACTCCTCCTATTGTTGTCACCATGCCAATGAATATTAATCAGATACTGAAGTTAAACCAAATTTTTCCACCCCCACCCTTTAGCATGGAATAACAGGTCAATTGTTGTTTCTTGTTGTTATCTGTACTCAAAAAGCCCAGCTAAACATTAGCCTGGGAGCCTCCTACAGTCTTCCTAACTGTTTGGCTCAGATCACACCAATTATTTCATTTAACAAAATTTTGTTAATTGAGGCCTCAATCTGAACATTAAGGATACTTTCTATCGCTTTTAAAAACACATAAGTTTTGCATTTGAAACAGAACATTTAAAAAAGGTGAAAAATATTGAACGAATAAACTGACCTGCGCTGATCTTCACCTTGATCAAATGCTGCTACTGTGAGACATTCATCCATGTGACCATGAAAGAGGCGCAGTACATGCCCACCAGTCAAGTATCCTATGGATATAAAAGTTGAAGACAGACCAAATAATTAATTCCTGTGTCACATCGGAATCTTAATACATTTGGGACGGTTTGTAATTTTCAAAAGGGCCATTAGGGAGGGAGGAAATTGGAAACTCATCTGTTGCCAATTAACAGTTCCTTAAGTTCATTAATGAGCTTCATAAAGCATCTGCAGTGGACAATACTATTTTTAGTCTTTATTCTTGTGCACACAAACACATTGCAGGGACATTGGAGCGGTAGTTTGAAATTGTACAAGATTGAATTTTTCACAGGCCAACCAGCCTGAGTCCCTCACTTGCGTTTAGATTGTGTGGCCACTTTCATCACCATTGACAGTACTGTCTCTGTAGGGAGATTTAGCAAAGCAGCAGCAACCCTGAACATGGCTACTACCTCCTTTCCAGCTGGCACCTTGCAGACAGTTCTAACTGAGCAACAAGCTCCTGATTTGAATTTAAAAACAACATTCTGAGAGAGTGATGCAGTTCAGTAGTGTAGTCAGGACTGGAAATTCACCAATGGATCAGATCCCTAACCATATTTTGAAAATCCAGCCTATGTCAATTTGCCTCCACTCATCAGACGGATTATATAGCAGCAGTCACGCAATGATAATAGCAACACTACAACAGTCCTATTGACACTGGAGTCTCTACCTTTTTGGTGAAGGCCTTGAAATGGGTGGCTCAAATACCCAGCAAAAACAATTGGGGGCTTATCAGCAATTGCAAATTGGAATCATGTAACAACTGTTAAAAGCTAATGCAAATTTTGAGTACCGACAGGAGGTACACATGTGCTTCACTCTCCACCCTTTGGTATTCCATCTTACAGGCTGATATCTGCTGTCTTGGATTCCAATTAGATGGTCTCAGATCTAGAAAAACGTAGGCACTAAACTTCACAAGGTGAACACAATTAGTTCTACTGTTTCCTGACTTGAACACATCCCAATCAGAATCCAGGTGTAATGTTCCAGAACTATCCAGAGAAAGAAACTGTTCTCTGATGTTCAATAGGTCACATTTGAGATTACATTTCCAAGTGTGAGATGAATGGTGAGTGGTGAGTTCATGGTGGACCAATTGCCTCACAGACTGACTTTTCATGGACTTTGCAGATGCTCATAAAACAAACGTTTTCTGCAACAAAGATTGTAACTACCTGACTCCTATTGATTAGAATTTCTCAAAATAATATAGGGAGCCCTCTTGTGATGCAGTGGTAGTGTCCCTGCCCCAAACCAGAGGCGCCTGCGTTCAAGTCTCACCTGCTCCAGGTGTGTATAATAATATTTCTGAACAGGTTGATTAGAAAAATAGGTCAAACTAATATAGGCATCCAACCAATAAAAGCAAGTTTTGATTGCACCTGCTGTAGTCAACTCTTTGATATTGTGGTATGGTGTGCTTGGTGACTGCTCATGCTGCTAGAAATAATTATTGATTTGATTGGCTTTTTCTTGGATATTTCTCATACAGCCAAAGAACAAAACATCTGTTCCTTCTGGTTGCATTTTAGCAGCCATCCGAAGTAGAGTCATCATTCTTAAAATAACCTTTTTAAGCCAAGGCATCTAAGGAAAAATACCTCAATTTTTGTCACACATTTGAAGCCATTTAACATTCTGTTTAATTGTTGTTTCAACCTTCCCTTCTCTCTAATATTAAAAATGTTTAACTATTTGAATCATTTTTCATAATGTGAAACCCTTAGTCTCATGATCATCTTTAATGAGCTTGACGTAGGTCATCAGTAGTCTTCAAAGTGGATTATCCAAAACTGGATAGAGAATTGTAATATACCATATTAACTACAACACTGATCCATGCAATTTTAAAATGTTTGCTTTGGTTACAATGAACTACATTTGAAGTATTTCTTGATCCCCAGTTGACATTATTCGTTATGGTTTTACATTGCCTTGATACTTAGGCTAATTGTTTAACAATCAAGCTCAAGTTCCATCCAATCTTTCTGCAGAGATATTCTTTCAAACTATGCATTAGTTTGGACCTACATCTGCAAATGCCTGTTGGTCATACAGCTTGAAATCATCAATGACTGCCATGATGCTATGAAAATCACTCTATTTCTGAATAGTGTGAACAGGTGTTTGGAAATGTGATTAAATCATGTGCATATGCAATAGTCCTTAACCACATTCATGATCTCTATTATAACCTCCATGTGGTGGATTTAAACTATATAATTACAGCAGTCAACTAATTCAGCAGCTGCATCATTTCTAATTTAGCTAGTATTTTCAAAGCATCGACATTCTTCTGCTCACCATGAAAAATTCTCTCCAAGTAAAACTGACAGTTAAATAAGAATAACAAGCGTTAATCAATATTTGGCAGCCTTGTGTGATTTGCTTCCAATTGATTACATAATCCAAGAGCTGCAAAACAAATGATTAGCCCATGGAAGTCACTAAAGATTTGGAGTAGGTTTGAGAAACAGAATCATGTCCATACAGTCAAAAGATAAATATTTTCTCAATTGCAACATCCATCAAAATGCTCCCGAGTTCCACTGTAACAAAGTGAACAAGTCTGTTGGATTAGTAACCAGTCAGTTCCAATTCAAGTCCATTAAATTGAAACTTATTATAAGTTAACCATTTAGTTCAGTAAATGATTAGATGTTATATTTCTTCACTAACCTTCAGCTAGCTCACAGCCTGAGCAGATAGGGTTCATATTCCAAAGAGTCTGCATAAAGGAGGCATCCACTTGTAAATCTCCACTGGCATAAGATAAATGCTGAGAAAAGAAGTTATATGTAGAGAAATGAATAACAACATTTTTTCTGATTTGCTGCAAAGGATACTTCACTTGTCAGTGGAACTAATTCTCAGACTAATACAAGTGATAAGCAATGTATTTTCACGGTCACACGGCCCACAGCTTCCCCACTTATTTCTACAATGTTGTAGGCACTGCAACTGGCATTAACTACCATAAAATCAGTTGCCTCAGAATCAACTGAATACACTGAGAACCATACTAAGTCAATTGCATTTATTACCTTAAATTGGAAAATAGTTGGCAAAATGAGTGTTTTCTTTTATTTTCTAATGCATGGAATACTTATTTAAAAAAGTAGGTGCCAGCTCAAACAATAATTTTAAATCCAAGATCAATAGATATTTGTCAGTCAAGTATGTAATCTATTCAATCTATTCTCACTGGAGCTCAGGAGGCTGAATGGCTTGCTCCAGATCCTCTTCTGTTTTTTTCTGTCTGCACTACAGATGGGCTCCTATATTCTGCCAGCATTTTTCATTATGAATTGGATAACAATATGATGATCAGATTTTTTTGTGTTGCTGTTTGAGATGTAGTTAGATTTTGGGTTGCTGTGACTAACAATATACTGTACTAACAATACTTAACAGGAGGCTAACCCATCAGTAACTGTTAATCCATCTAATATTCATGGAGTTTAATTTTCTGGCAGGTTGTTATGGCAAGAAGTAAAAAGTAAAATCCCCAACAGTAACCATTAGTAGTGCAAAGGTCCTAATCAGTGGTACCAATATTTCTAGAGGAATGCTAGTAGGAACACTAGCTGTGAATTGGGATCTCGAGTCTGAACCACAAGATCCCAGGATCAAGTTCCGTTCCTAGGACCTGAGCACATAAAACCCAAGGTGTTTAGTCCAATGTAGTACTGAGGGAGTATTACACTGTTGGAGGTGCTGTCTTTCAACAAGATGTCAAACAAAACCCTGTGTGCCTGTACAGGTTAACGTTCCTGGTGTCCTGGCCAATATCTATCCCTCAGTCAACAGCACCAAGGTCAGGTCATTATCCTACTGTTCAACACACTCATAATTAATGAATGCTGGCAGAGTACAGATGTTGGTTTGTAATGCCAATAGAACCAAAGCAGAAGATCTGGAGTACACCATTCAGCCTTTCAAGCTCCAGTATGCCTATGGCTGGTCACCCACCTGCCTTCATTCCATATTCTTCTATATCCTTAACTTTTACATGCCCCTTGATCCTAGACTCCAGCACCAGCTAAAAATCTCAAACAAGTCGCTCTGCAAAACCTTCTATAATTTAGGCATGACAAGCCAAACATATGCACCACAGAAAGTTAATGTGTAGTTACAACAAGCAGTTAAGGAGACAACTGGGATGAGTTCAAAAGTTGGAAAGTCTTGTTATAAATACGGCATTGGCGAGACCACCCCTTGACTAAGCAGCCCTACCAGTAGAGTTGGACATTGCCCATGACGGAGAATCAAAAGATGTCTCAAGGAAAGGCATACTTTGAGGAATAATAGAAGTTTAAAAATAAAAAAAAATTGCCAGGCTATTGTTGAGGAGCCTGGCTGCAGTACTCTGGCAAACACAGCTGAAAGGTTTGAGGATGGAGGAAATAACATTAATATTAATCTCCTCACACTTTTAACCCTTGGAAAACTTGGGACCTAAACATACCCCATACAATGTCCAAACAGGGCGTGTTACAGTTATAAGAAAATGTCCTCCCCTTTCTATCCTAGTCTTCTATTTCTACAAGCTGACATTTCACTAGACTTTTTGATGTTCTTCACCAACGACTACAAAATACACATGATAGCAATAAGTCTCAGTGAATAATGCAATTGTTTTAAGAAAAAGGAAACTTTTGAATAATTGTTCTGAACATTGCTGGAGATTCAAGCAATATTTTATTAGTTTGTCTCCTCTAAGTTATTTTTACAAGTATGTTCACATACCAAAAAAGTCCAACGTATGTCATCACTTCATATTGTGATGAAACTCATTCTTTTTTGTACCTAGTTGTACTTTAGAAGCAAGCAATTTTTGAATATTGTAACAATAGGTAACTGTGCTCCAATGGCTGATAAATGGCTACATTCAAAGCTACCTAGAAATAACAGTGAGGTTTGTTGTGACGTTTTCAATTGATCACTCAAAACAATTCCAGGATCACTGAAGAGAATTTCAGTGTCACAGGCAGATAGCAACAGGTGATAGAAACAGGCTCCATGTTAATCAGTGCTGCTAATTAGCTAGGCTCCTAAGAAGGCAACTGAACTACTCTGTTTCTGTATACTTGGAACACAGGGAGAACTTCTAAGAATAGTTAAATAGTTTTGTGCAGTTAGGACTTGGAAAAAAGTTCAAAGAAGCAGCTGTGAAGACTGGAGCTCAGGGAAAACAAGCAGAGGCTTACACTGGTTTGATGAAGCGTCTGTGACGAACCTGAGTTGTGTCTGTGAGTAAGTACTGGAATGCAGTTTCCAGAGCCCAGATCAATGTAGATGCAAGAAAGGAAAGTGAAATATCAGACAGGAACACTTGTTGAAGCAGTTCAGTTTTTCCTCATGGAGCTTCAAGGCCAGATTGTCAAAAATGAAGAATTGGAACCCCTTGTGAAGTTTTAATAAGACTTGACCATGGTAACACAAATGACTTTTCTTTTTATTTTGGGCGGGGGGGGGAGGTGGTTTGAAGGAAGGATGACAAAGAAGGTAATGTGTTTTGCCGATCATATTTGCTATTTGTTACACCATAGCCATAGTTCCTTTGTTACCCATATATACCTCAGGTTAATTCTGGATTTAAAATAAACTATAGATACAGATTGCATTACTGTTCTAACTTTGTGAAGTTTAGCAAAGTTTATGGTTGTTCATTAAAAACCCTGGAACGGCTTTATTCTCTTAGTAAACGGTTGGCCCGAGCCACGTGCAAATTGGCTTAGGGATAAGAAAATTAGGGAAGTAAACACGTGGCTAAGGGAGTGGTGTGGGAAAGAGGGGTTCCATTTCATGGGGCATTGGCATCAGTTTTGGAACCGGAGGGATCTGTACCGATGGGACGGTCTCCACCTGAACCGATCTGGAACCAGTGTTCTTGCGAAAAGGATAAATAGGGTGGTCACTAGGACTTTAAACTAGTGAGTTGGGGGGAAGGGAAAGGGAAGACGACAGGGAGTATGATGGTAAATAAAAAGGTAAACAGCAGGTTAGCATGTGTGCAGGAGGGTTTAAGTTCAAGGCAGACTATGAAAGAAGCAAAAAGGAAGGATAACTCAGGAGATATTATTAGAGATGTTGGAAATCATGAGGGTAAGAAAGCTAGCATAAAGGCACTTTACCTGAATGCTTGTAGCATTCGTAACAAGGTTGATGAGTTAACGGCACAAATCATCGCGAATGAATATGATTTGGTAGCCATTACGGAGACATGGTTACAGGATGGTCACGACTGGGAGTTAAATATCCAAGGGTAGCAGACTATTCGGAAGGACAGACAGGAAGGTAAGGGAGGTGGTGTAGCCCTGATATTCAAGGACGCCATCAGGGCGGTGCTGAGAGATGATATAGGTTCTATGGAGAATGAGGTTGAATCCACTTGGGTGGAAATTAGAAATTCTAAGAGGAAAAAGTCACTGACAGGCGTAGTCTATAGGCCACCAAATAATAACATCACATTGGGGCGGGCAATAAACAAAGAAATAACTAATGCCTGTAAAAATGGTACGGCAATTATCACGGGGGATTTTAACCTACATGTAGATTGGGCGAACCAGCTCGGTCAGGGTAGCCTTGAGGAGGAGTTCATTGAGTGTATCCGTGATAGTTTTCTTGAACAGTATGTAATGGAACCAACGCGGGAGCAAGCTATCCTAGACCTGGTCCTGTGTAATGAGACAGGAATAATTAATGACCTCATAGTTAGGGATCCTCTTGGAAGGAGTGATCACAGTATGGTTGAATTTAGAATACAGATGGAGAGTGTGAAGATAAAATCCAATACCAGGGTCCTGTGCTTGAACAAGGGGAACTACAATAGAATGAGGGAGGACTTGGCTAAAGTAAACTGGATACAAAGATTTTATGGTGGGACAGTTGACGAGCAGTGGAGGACTTTCAAAGCAATCTTTCAAAGTGCTCAGCAAAAGTATATTCCAATGAAAAGGGGTAATCTGCCATGGGTGTCTAAAGAAATAAGGGAGGCTATCAAATTGAAAGAGAAGGCATACAAAGTGGCCAAAAACAGCATGAAACCAGAAGATTGGGAAAACTTTTAAGGTCAACAGAAAGCCACAAAAAAAAGCTATAAGGAAAAGTAAGATAGAACATGAGAAAAAACTAGCACAGAATATAAAGACAGGTAGGAAAAGTTTCTATAAATATATAAAACGAAAAAGAGTGGCTAAAGTAAACGTTGGCCCTTTAGAGCATGAGAAGGGGAATTTAGTTATGGGATATGATGAAATGGCCGAGGCATTGAACAGGTATTTTGTATCGGTCTTCATAGTGGAGGACACTAATAACATGCCAGTAAGAGACAAAGAGACGAAGGTAGGTGAGGACCTGGAAACAATCATAATTACGGAAGAGGTAGTGTTGGGCAAGCTAATGGAGCTAAGGATTGATAAGTCTCCTGGCCCTGATGGAATGCATCCCAGGGTACTAAAAGAGATGGTGGGAGAAATAGCAGGTGCACTGGCGGTAATTTTCCAAAATTCGCTGGACTCTGGGGCAGTCCCAGCAGATTGGAAAACAGCAAATGTGACGCCACTGTTTAAAAAGGGAAGTAGACAAAAGATGGGGAACTATAGACCAGTTAGCTTAACCTCTGTAGTGGGGAAGATGCTTGAGTCTATTATCAAGGAAGAAATAGCAAGGCATCTTGATAGAAATTGTCCCATTGGGCAGACGCAGCATGGGTTCATGAAGGGCAGGTCATGCTTGACAAATCTTTTGGAATTCTATGAAGACATTACGAGTGAGGTGGACAAAGGGGACCCAGTGGATGTGGTGTACCTAGACTTCCAAAAGGCCTTTGACAAGGTGCCGCACAAGAGGCTACTGCATAAGATAAGGATGCATGGCATTAAGGGTAAAGTATTAGCATGGATAGAGGATTGGTTGACTAACAGGAAGCAAAGAGTGGGGATAAATGAGTGCTATTCTAGCTGGCAGTCAGTGACTAGTGGTGTGCCTCAGGGATCGATGTTGGGACCGCAATTATTTACAATTTATATAGATGACTTGGAGCTGGGGACCATGTGTAGGGTGTCAAAGTTTGCAGATGACACTAAGATGAGTGGCAAAGCAAAGGTGTGCAGAGGACTGTGAAACTTTGCAGAGGAACATAGATACATTGAGTGAGTGGGCAAAGGTCTGGCAGATGGAATACAATGTAAATAAATGTGAAGTCTTACATTTTGGAAGGAGTAATAGTAAAAAGGATTATTACTTGAATGGTAAAAAGTTGCAGCATGCTGCTATGCAGAGGGACCTGGGTGTCCTTGTGCATGAATCACAGAAGGGAGGTCTGCAGCTACAACAAGTAATTAGGAAGGCAAATGGAATTTTGTCCTTCATTGCTAAAGGGATTGAAATAAAAAGCAGAGAGGTTATGTTGCAGCTGTACAAGGTGCTGGTGAGGCCACACCTGGAGTACTGTGTGCAGTTTTGGTCTCCTTACTTGAGAAAGGATGTACTGGCACTGGAGGGGGTGCAAAGGAGGTTCACTAGGTTGATTCCAGAGTTGAGGGGGTTGGCTTATGAGGAGAGACTGAGTAGATTGGGATTATATTCATTGGAATTCAGAAGATTGAGGGGGGATCTTATAGAAACATATAAAATTATGAAGGGAATAGATAAGATAGAAGTAGAGAGGATGTTTCCACTAGCAGGTGAAGCTAGGACAAGAGGACATAGCCTCAAGATTAGAGGGAGCAGATTTAGGACTGAACTGAGAAGGAATTTCTTCACCCAGAGGGTTGTTAATCTATGGAATTCCTTGCCCAGTGAAGTAGTTGACGCTACTTCAGTAAACGCTTTTAAAAAAAAGGTAGTTTTTTTTGAACAATAAAGGAATTAAGGGATACGGTGAGAACGCGGGTAAGTGGATCTGAGTCCACGAAAGGATCAGCCATGATCTTATTGAATGGCGGAGCAGGCTCGAAGGGCCAGACGGCCTACTCCTGCTCCTAGTTCTTGTGTGTTCTTGTGTGTGAAATCTCAAACTTTGTCAACCTTAAAAAATGTTACTGATCCCTGGTCAGATCATTTTGTGGTCTGGTCTGGGATCATAACAATAATCAGGTCATATATGATTTTATTGCAGTTACTGTTGCCATTGAAGTTTATTTTACACTGAATTCTAAACAGTATAAAAATAGCATACACTTACCAGGTATCTTTCAGAAGAAACACTAACGAGGATGAGATCATCACCAACGCGTACTTTCTCACCCTCAGACCTCTGTTTGGAGGCTGGATGAATGGTCCACCAGCAAGCTTCTCCTGCACATATCACATCGGTACTAGTTTCATGGTGAGAATTCTCTCGAATTTTTGCAACTTATATCATATTTCTTGAGAATTTATCAATAAATAAACGGAACTCTTATGATCGCAGCTGATGGTTAAGTCAGGTTCCAGAATGAAACCTGGCTTGATAGACCAGAAGGTTTTTTTTGTATTCCATTTTTCAGTCAATTATTGATTTCAAGAGACTGCTGTTGTATTTTTAATAAAAGAACATAAATGTTTAGTACACAAAACAAACTCTGCACACTAGATAAGAATTATTGGAACTGGTCTCTTAATAAATATCAGAAAGAAAACAAGACAATACCTTAAACATTCAAACCTCAGTGAGGGGCCGCCCTGATCTCCACACGAAAGCTCTCTATTCATATCATGTCTCTAATAGTTTCTTTTTGGCAAATTTCTGCATTCACCCAATTCCATCTTCTTTAGGCTATTCCTAAGCTGTTAACTTAGTCATTTACCACTTAATTATGGTTCCTTAAACTTATGTTCAACACACTTGTAGGATGGCTTCCTCTTTGACAATTCAAAGACATTCTGCTTCTAAAGCTTTCTTCTAAGCAACTCAGCTTCTTTACAGACCAGACTGATTGGACATTGTTAAGAATAGCACCTCACTTACTAAGGACCTTCTTTCTGAATGAATCCATCTGCTTCCCAACTCCTTTGGATTCTTCTGACTGTGTATTACTAAACTCCCATTGCTAGCCAACAGCAGTTTTCTTTCCAGTACACTAAATTATTCACCACAAGGGATTAAAGTGCTCACTTGAATCCATGTTGACACAACAAATCTCCAGAAATCCCATACCATTCTCAGAATAAATCTAAAATTTAACTAATGTCTATGTATTTCCCCTTAACACAAAATGGGAATATAAATATATGTTGTTTTCACAACTCCCACTCTCTTTTAAAATAAAAAGATTTGAGCAAAAGCACAAACCTTCACACTCTTCCCTTCTCACCTGTATCAACTTTTCTTCTGGGATAACAAGATTAAGTTAATTTGATAATCACATTATCAATGCTCTCCTTATAATATACAAACACTATCCTCCCTCTTCTTCGCCACTGTCTCCGCCTCTCCCTCCCCCCGCTCCGCTGCCCTTACCTCTCCCTACACCTAGAATGTGTAGTCAATAGTGAATTAAGGAAGCTCACAAATATTATAAGATAAAGCCCTGCAAGGACTCTCCTGACATGCAAGTCATAGTAGTGTAGTTTATTGGCGATGATCCCTAGCATGGAGCTAGCTGTATTGATGTGATTACACTATCCAAGCAGTCCCTCACGTTAAAGAATTCTCACTGACATCGAAGCAAGAAATGAAAACACTTAATTGAATCACTTTTTAGAAACATTTTCAGATAGTAAAGTTAAAATTGGGACATACAAATGTGGTTAAGGTAGAAGTTGAATTATCACGAGCAAATATAAGTAAGTGCAAAATCATGATTTAAAAAATCTTCCTATTCATAATAGAAATAGGCAACTGTATTCCAAAATTACATATTTTCAATGGTCAGATCATTTGTTCAGCAGAAGTTATTACTCAGATTGCCATTAAAAAGTTACACAACATTGAGCAAGACTATTTTCATAGGACTACAAAGGATAATTGCAGGAAGGATATTCCTGATGACCGGGAAGTCTCAAACCTGGGGTCACAGTTTAAGGATACAGGTAGATCATTTGGGACTGTGATGAGGATAAACATCTTCACCCAGAAAGTTGACAGCCTGTGGAATTCTCTGCCACAGAGAGCAGTTGAGCCAAAACATTGAATGTTTTCAAGAATGAGTTCAAGAATAATTGCTCTTAGAGCTAAAGAGGACAAAGGGTATGGCAGAAAGCATGAATCGGATGCAGAGGTAGAGGATCAGCCATAATCATATTGAATGGTGAAGCAAGCTTGAAGGACTGAAAAGCTTACTCCTGCCCCTATTTTCTACGTCTCTTTGCAGACTTGCTATGGAGTTTCTCGCAAAAATATAAAAGAGTTGAAAAAGGCATGTCGTCTGCAAATGCTACCTCTGAAAGGGTGAGCTCCATTTTGTAGGCTGTGATGGAACAATAAATCAAAGACTCCAACTTCATGATTCCTGTATTAATCTGTATTTCAGCTAAATCTCAAAGCAGTGGTCATATTCAGAGGGTTAATGACAACAAATTCTAATACTTTGTCATCAAGAGCCTCAAATTCCAGGTTATTATAACAAGGATATGCTGAACTCACCACAATTATAAGACTGGTGTCTTTCAAATGTGAATCTTTTATGTGACTATCACAAATCATCTGTAATTATGTCCTTTAATGTTTTGTTTAGAAAATCAAATTACCAGCATTATTTTTTGCCCCAGAGAATTTGATCTAATTCAGAGCTTTATCCCTTTTCCCTTACTTCTGACCAAATAAATACCTCTACAGGTAAATCTTATTAGTTGTCTCACTCTTTCTCACTGTAACATGGGTAGAAGATTGCTGACCCCTTGGAGACACAAGGGTAAACAGCTATTTATGTCATTTCTTCAGTGTTCCCATTGATCTGTTGCGAAAGTTATGGTGGGAGACTAGAATCAGCTTCCCCACAGAAATTCTACCCCTTACTGTACGTAACAGGTGTAGCCAATGAATTAAAATATTTTGCTCTTTCAATTTACCTGAAGCATCTTCTTGAAGCCCAACATCAAAGGATAATTTGTCTGTCAAAGACCTTGAGGTGGTCAAACAACATAAATACTGGAAAGAAAAAGATAAGAATTGTCACCATCATGGAAACACTGCAAAATTAAAGTCTAGAATTACATCCAATCTCATAAGATTTTTAATTATAAATCCTATTATAGAATTTTAGATAGAACTTCAGCTATACAACAGGAGAATGGGTTCATAGAAACACACATACTCACACAGCAACACATGAAAAGAGGAGTCAACCCCAAATGGTACCCTCAGAGGATTCAAGGTAAGGAGATAATTGGTTCAAGACAAACATAATTCAGTTTCCAGTCTAGAGTAATCAACTCTAAACTTATTTTTGGGTAAGATTTTGATTTGATATCGCAATTTAGAGTTCAACAGCAAAACTTACCAGCAATTTAGGGAGCAGAAAAGCAGTGGCAGAGTACAAGCAGCAATGCAACATAATCCTCGAAATAGGAGGTTAATCACAATGTACAATTAATTTGTAGCTGCAGCTTCTGAGCAGCCAGCAGTCAGCGCACTGCTCAGTCTGCTAAGACTTCACACTCAAGTAAGGAACCCAAAAGTGTAAGTAGCTAGTATGTGTTCAAGTCAGCCTGCACTCAAATGTGGAAGGTGCATTTTCCAGCAGGTCCTGGGAGTCATTCTTAAAGTGAGTTTGCCCTGGGGAAAACAGAGGAATGACGCAACAAGAGAGGGCTCAAAGATTTTCTGACACTGATGCCTCGGTGCACTAGAAGTGGACAACAGCTGCCAGCAATCCACAAGGAGTCTGATCGAGCCTTCAACCTTAGAAGGCAGTGGAACCAGATAACTGTGTCAGCAATCAACCCCCATCACACACTTACCAACAACCTGTACTACCAGGTCTCATTCTTAACCTTCATAGCCTCACTTCACCTTCAAACAAACAGTCAGCGCTGCTGAAAGTGTCACACTCAGATCTAATAGTATGCACCTTTCTCTTGCAGAACAAGGATTCACATCACAGTTGAAGAATAGGCCTTACTTCTTTTGCTCACGAAGGCTACAAAGGCACAGTGTTCTCCATCATTGGTGTAGCATAATTGAGAATGTTACAAAAAGCAGTGTTTCTTTGAAAGCAAAGAAGACAGTATGCTCACAGGTTCCCCTTCCCAGTTATTTTCAGATCTCTTCTGATTTACAAACTGAAGGTAATGTTAGCTTTTACCTCTTGTGTTTGAGAGTCATATCACACAGAAACAGACCCTTTGACCCAACTCCATGCTGACCAAGTTTCCCAAAATGAACTAGTCCTATTTGGCCCATATCCCTCTAAACCTTTCCTGTTTGTGTATCTGTCCAAATGTTTTTTAAATATTGTAATTGTACCCACTTCCACCACCTCCTGTGGCAATGTAATCCATACATGCACTCTCCTCTGTGTGAAAAAGTTGCCTCTCAGGTCCACTTTGCATTTTTCTCCTCTCAACTTAAACCTATGCCCTCTAGTTTTGGAGTCCCTTACTCTTGGAAAAAGACTTTGGCTATTCATCTTATCTATGCCTCTCACGATTTTATAAACCTCTATCAGGTCACCCCTCAGTCTCTGATGGTCCAGGGAAAGAAGTCCCAGCCTATCCAGTCTCTCCTTATAACTCTCATGCTCCAGTCCCAGCAAGATCCTTGTAAATATTTTTCTGCACCCTTTCTAATTTAACAACATCTTTTCTGTAGCAGGGCAACCAGAACTGTATGCAATATTCTAAAAGTGGCCTCACCAATATCTTGTAAAGCCGCAAAATGACATCCCAACTCCTGTACTCAGTGCTCTGACTAACAATTCCTTGTGCCACGTGCTGGTGAGGCTAGCAGTAGAAAGGTAATACAGTTGAATGAATGCTAAAGAGCAGGTGTCGGAGGAATGACTTCAGATATCTAGATCACTGGGATCTCATCCTAAGCAGGTGGGACCTGTACAAGAAGGATGAGTTGCACCCTAACTGGAGTGGCACCAATATCCATGTAGGGAGGTTTACTAGTGCCACTCAGGAGGGTTTAAACTAGTGTGGCAGGGGGACGGGAACGAGTGCATTCCTCACATCTCACCACATCCTTAGTCTTCTGCTTTTCTCCTTTCAGACGCCCAACACTTGGAACTGGCCAGAGAGTAGAAGACATGAAAGCAATGGAAGAGTGGTATGACACTGATGCAGCTGTTACACTGTCAATTGTTTGCACACTCACAAACTGGCTGATGTCTGAGGTTAGTCAGTGGAGCCTGGAATAAATTGGGCTTAGTGGACAGCTTGAAGCCATTCTTTTACAGGAAACAACTAGTGGCTACCCCAGGATATCACCAACAGATCCATCCATAATGCAGCATGCCACAGTGAAAACTTATACTTCAACAATGCCAGATCAGCTTTCTAACACGTCAGCTCTGAATGCTCTCTCAAGCTCAGCTTCTTGTCATGCAGACTCAAATTGCTGTCATCATATCTGAAGATACCAATGTTCAAAAGGGACTTAAGATATTACAAGAGTTCAACAATCTACCCTCCATCATACTGCCAGGATTGTTCAGGTTCCACCTTGGGGGAGCAGCAGTGGAACAGTGCAGCAGGAAATTATATGCCAAGGAAAATCACATTAACCCACTGAGACTGCTAAAAAATAATGGTCTGTCAGACAATCAACTCAGAGTGTCCATGTCAAGGTGCTGCAGCCTGAAACTCAACTTCGAGGGTCACAGCTACAAGGTCACCTCAAAAGAACACCTGCAATTTCTTATATAAGCAGCCATCACAAGCTGTGCTGTAACCACTTGAGTTCACTGGGACAGCATCTGGCTTCTTACGGTTTTCAGCAGGCAAAACAAGCAACAAATAAGAAGATGCAAAATAATTAGAAACTGTTAGCTTTTTCTAAAATGTAACCTTTTTTAATTAACCTGTTAGAGATGTTATTACACACCTCTGGAGCAGATGGGACTTGAACTTGGGCCTCCCAATCTAGGACTAGAGACACTACCACTGCGACACAAACAAAAACAGTTATCTGTTGAAGACATAACTCCTTACTCCAGTGTGCAAACTATGCACAAAGTGGCAGCATACATCAGCAAACATTTGACAAAAGCCATACTGCCTTTTACGCTCTACCTGAACCCTTCTCTCTGACAACAAAATGAAACATAGTCAGCTATCTTTTGGAATAGAGAGTGTCTCTGTGACCTCTTTTATGCAATAGAGAATGATAACCTGGAAAGTCTTGCAAAATAGACTGCTCCAGCCTGGAATGAGTCAGAAGTTCACAGTCACCCTCACAGCCAATGGCAATGCTGTCGTCACCCTGATCTGAAGTTGCAACTGTGAAGTTGCAGAAAGTGGGAGATTAACGGGGACCTCTTTAGAGAAGCAGAACATTATTCCTCACTGAGGTGGACGGAGGGGAATTGTACCCAAATGATTATGGCCTTCCTGAGAGTTGTCTGCTCACGCCTCTTCCACCATTTGTCCTGCTCCGTGACACGTCTGCTCAATCCCCAAGGGGATGCAAACTAATGTACATATATTTGGGAATGGCTTGTGCGGAATCTTTGCAGTCAAGACAAAGTCCTTGAATTGCCACCTCATTCCCTGTCAACTTCAGAATCTTTAAACAACTCTAGAAACCACCAGGCATAATTACAATTACAGCAGGATCAAACAGAAATCAAACAGCAATTATTCTGAAAGTAATTTAAATAGTTTAACTGGAGTGCCAGGGGTGATTCTATTTGTTTCTGATCATGTATCCAGCTGTGCACATTTAAGCATCAGCCTCAGCTGCAGTACTGAGCTTCAAAATGGCAGTGCTTGCATCAATCAGGATTACATGCTCCTTGAAATCACAATCTGGCTGCTCTGCATACTTCCAACAGACGCATCCTCCATGTGAACCACTTTGGAGCCTAACAGAAACCACAGCACCTAAACAACTGTTTTTCTTTGCACAGCAGAATTTTGCCACTTTGGAGTTTGCACTCCAAGTTGAGAAAACAATCTCAGATGTAGGAAAGACAATGTGATTACATCATGACAAGAATATATTGACTGTTCCTTTATAAATACTGGCAGACATAAAATTGTGTATCTAAAAAGAGAGAATTCTTCCTTCAAATCTATCCCTTAAACTGCAATGACAATGTAGTCTAATGAAATTTCATTCCTAATTTCTGCTTTTCTCTTAAATATTATTACAATTATTTTGTGCTGCAAGTTCATCTCCGGTACCAGCTGAGGTTACCATGAAAGCCCTGCTTTCTCAACCTTGCCCCCGCCTGAGGCAAAGTGACCCTCAGATTAAATACACCACCAGTCGTCTCTCTCTAATGAGACAGCAGCCCTATGATCCTCTAGGACTATGGCAAGTTTAGCTTGACACTACCTGTAATGGACCAATGACGTTTTTTTTGCAGATCGGGAGGCCACTTTTGGACACTCAGTGTTCTCTATAACTTCAGTTAGCAAGTTCTCAATGAATGAATCACCTATGGAGAACTACCTATGGGCTGGCATCAACTCACCGGCCTGTAAACAGTGCATGCTGCTCTACAAGTGGACAATGAGCAGTGTCCCAAACTGCAATTGCGGCTATGCATCCTAGACCATAGAATACATCACATCAAATTGCTTGTAGGGTCTGTTATGAGAGGTCCCTAATCTCTCCAGTCAATATTTCAGGAGATCATCAAAAAGATGATCAAAACTGGACACCTCACTATAACCTTTTCCCATTGTATGAACATCGAATAAATAATTGTACAGGAATTCACTAATCCCCTCAATTCTATTCAAAAGAACTCTATGGATGAAATAATGCTCCTAGCAGATGAAGTCAGACTTTTGTACATTTTCTATTTCCTACTAATTGATGGGTGAGACAAGAGACTGGTCAATTCTCCCTGGCAGAAGTTTAAACAATAACAAACATACAATGATTGCGTAATATTGCAGTCTTGATGACATTTTGACAAGTAAAATGTTTATTTTGGTTGAGAAATTACACTGCAACAGGTTGACATTCCATAAATTTTTCTTCCTGTCAATCAATAGCAATACATTTCACCAAGCCTGTTGCCTGCTTTGTTTTATAACAAATTCATTCAAGGTTGACTCTTTTTTGTAAAAAAAAAAAGGGCAGAATGTTACCTTAAAATATTAGTATTGTCAAAATTCCTATGACTTACCATGCCACTGTGGGAATGGCGGAGTAGAATAGCATGACCGTACAAAAGGGTTCGATGGCCTCCTCCCTGAGAAGACTGCACGTATAGAGGGTGAAAATGAATACATTCATTAATCAAAACTTGGCATACCAAACTAACATACCAATAAAAACATCAGCAACATTTTTTGTTGATGTGACTGCAAGTAAAAGCTACTGTAATTTACAGATTGGACTTTAAAATTAATTTTGACAGTAAAGACTGCTCTAAGCTGTCTAAAGAAAACAGCACCTACATGTTGGAGCACAGGCATTGTCTTTTAGCCAGCTGATTTCTCAGTGTTATTTTTGTCTGTAGACATAAAACAATTGCACCCAAAGTTATACTAACTGACACAAAGCTAATTGAAGAGAGAAGAACGTGCATTAATATTGTTTGAACAACCAAAAGGAATCTCATATCAATCAACAATCCAATATACATAGTTTTCATGAATACGGAACACACAAAAAAACTGTTTAACCATTCTTATTGCCAGCCTGTCTATTTGAGAGTTACTAACATCTAAAAATAACCACTTAGACCAATGTATCACAGGAACTCACTCTTTGAAAGCCTTTAATAACTTTGGGACAATGGTTAAAGGTGATACTTGACTGCTTGTTTCCACTGTGATGTTTTGTAAGGGGTTCATGAACTTCCTATGATGTAACTGAGATAACTCCTCAGAGGCTGGTATCACGTCAACCCGTTATTTACATGTGCATTGTCCCTGACACTGCTCCGGCCTCCTCTGAGCCAGCTCTGAGCGAATAGAACCTCTGATGCTCCTGTTTATGTCTGTCAGCCAGAGCTCCTTGATTGGACCAGGTTAACTGCCCCAATCAGGGAACTCCTATTCTATGAGGTCGACCTGGCTGACTTCATTACAATCACAACAGTAACCTTTATGTGAGATACTGTTAGATAATTCTGGAATGAATCACAGAAGATTTTGAACTTATGTTTCAGTTACTTATAAGTGTTGTCTGCCGTTTCTCCAAACTCATTTCTGAGCGTTGGGCCATGGACATTCATTGGATTGGCCCGTGCTTTTTGGCAAAGTACTGTAGTAGTTTGCCATTGCATTTTGCAGGATGGTTGACCAGGAGACTCTTCCTTTCCTACCATCTGCCATCAGGCATTTGGGAAGGATTCACAGACTGATAGTCAACCTGTTTGATCGCAGTGAGAAAGCACCTTCGACAGCCAACAAGTCCTGGCATGGGACTTGAACCTAGAGTCAGGACAAGACACAATGGTAAAATCAATGTGCCACAAGATCATTAATGTTGTACAGGTCAAATGTTTTACTGGCTCTATTTTTTTGTAAATAAGCCTACTTGTTACTGTTAGCCTTATTATGAATGCAAGATTTTTTAATGTATTATGTTGTCTCTATAATACAAGACAAATAGAGAGGATTATGTGATTTGTATTGAATTTTGCCCAAAAACAAGCGTGAGTAGCTTGGTTACCATGGGAATAGCAGTCTTACTGAAAATAAGGTGCAAAATGTGGGCACCTGGAAACAAAGACAAGGACAGCTGGGCACGTTGTGCACAGAAGTGCAGCATCTAAATGTAAGGACAGAAAAAAAAGTGTGAGAAGTAGGGGCTCTCAAGAGAGACATCAGGTTGCAAATGGTGTAGACAGCAGAGAAAAGAGGCTGCAAGGTTTTCTGTGAGCCCCTAAGCAGAAAGTAAATGGATGGACTGTCTTTGATCAAAAAAGCACATCCTGTTGTAATCAAAACACTCCAGAAGATGTGTATTGGTGATTGTGGGAGAAGAAACGCCCAGAATGGATCTTACTGCTGGCAGCTGGTTTGGAAATCCACCAGAAACTGAGGGAAGTATCTCTCAATAGTCACTTGACGTTACAACTTGGCAAAATCATGGAAATAATCACTGACTGGAGACTGACAGTGGTGTAGATTATTGTAATCTTGCGCAGACTATATTGCTGTGAATAGGTGTTTAGCATGGGATTATCAGTCAAGTCAAAGCATTATTAAAGAATGTCTTTCCAAAGTTTAGAATATTAGTTGTTTACTAGGTAATGTTTAGTTGATGTTGCTTTTAGTTCATTTGTTAGAGTACAAGTCTTAAACCTTGAAAATCTTGTTGTACAACCCCTTTAAACTAGTCCTGGGAATTCAAGTCTCTTGGTTACAGTTATGGTCTGTCCAGAGCTTGAATAACACCAACAGAATAGTTAACAATGTGGTTATTTCTATCTGAAAGTGGGCAAGACTCGGTAGTGTGCAGCCAATATAGCTCTCCAGCTCTCCAGCACATGGTATCTTGATGAAAACACTAATTGTTAATCCATGGCATACTGTTCCATTTGCATCACACACTGTCATGTAAACTTTAGTCATTGAAAGATATGTCTGTTTCTGGGAACAATCGGCAGATACACAAGAGTGAAGGGTACTAGGAGAGAGCCCAGATTGTGAGTAATTTCATTTAACTTGTTCCACACACCAAATGCATTGAAATTAACAATTATTCTGTTCACACATTACAACACTAAAAAAGTCAGAGAACAGACCTCTATCATCTTAGATTAAATTTAAAATTAAATGATCCTACTCTAACTTACAAAACAAAGTTTAAAAGATTACTTAGGTTATAGGAATAAGTGGTTTAAAAATTCATAAACGAGTGAAATAAAAACTAAAAAGGAATTAAATCCAACGAATGTTAAAAGAAAGCAAATATACTTTTAAAAATTAAGCAACAAAATGAATTTTGTAAATAATTAAAGGTCAGTTGAGAACTCAAAACCATTAAAACTGCCTTCAGCTCAATGATTCAATCTGCACCCTACAATCAATCATCCTGAAAATTTATTCAGAGACAAATTAGAGCAACGAGATGTGGTAAACTGATGGCTAATCATGTTGTGAAAATAATTTCTCTATTTCCATTTCAAAAATTAAAAGTTTTTCTCATTTGTTTACAACATTGAACACAATAAGAAAGGTAGTAGAGATACACAGAACAAAAAACTCCAATTATTGAGATGCTGAGAATCAGTAATATGATATTTTATTTTTAAAATAATGCAACTAAATTTTGACTGAGGTATACTATTAAAAAGATACATTATTTGATAGGAAGGATAGCATCTACAGATTTTCTGCCTGGTTGGTATGGACTGTATGGTTTTCTTCATTCTTCATTGATGCTTAAACCTAACAATTGGATATTGCAACTGACTACAAAACCTAGCTAGCCAGGGACTCTCCCTTTCCAGAAACTACCTTTATAAATCATTAATGAAGATTACTATCTTACCATACATGGAGTTAGTTACAATGTTATAACAAAATTCAAGTTGTTTCTCCTGTCATGGAGGAAACAACAATGACATATCCATGAGGGATGATGTAGTTTAGCTATGTTTTTATTTCATTAATAGGCGTACACTAGCTCTGTTAAAAGAAGTGCTCAGCAAACTGCCAGATGGACAGAAATTTTGCCTGGTAGAGTTTCTGCTCAGAGCCTTCCCAATCTCAGCAATTTCTACATGTAGAGAAATAGCAGCAAAGATAACTCAAAACATATTAATAAAAATAGCCTCACAGATCACTGATCTATGCTTCTCTAAGAGCATGACCATGTTAAAGTCTGGTCCATGATGATATACATGGGATGAATTACTCAGCAAACAAATAGGGAAATAGAACTAATTTTTAAAATTTTTAATATTCAAATTAAGTCATCAAATAGAATAAGGATGGCTGTGCAGGTGATGAATACTCCCTTCAATTTTGTTTTCTTGGTGCACAGTAGCTACTTCTGAAACTGAAAGTTAATGCATTGGCGGGTTGAACACACCAATCAGCATGCACGGAACCTCAGAGCCACTATGGAGCCATTGGTTTAGACAAAACATTACAGATGATGTGTTGCAGTTCTAATATGTGGGAACTTCTGGACACTGGTGTGATCAGAATGACTAGATCTGCAGCAAGTGCTGGTCGAGGAACTTCAACTCAAAATTGATGCACTAAGTTGCTGACACTGCAACATATCAGGGAAGGAAAGAAGTATGTGGACACCCTGTTTCAAGATCCAGTCACATCCCTGAGATTAATTACATCACATTTTAAAGAGATAAGTCATGGAAAGAGAGCTCAAAGCCATGGTGGGTTCTTCTTGCTCTATGCAGGAAGTCAGGCACAATTCCAGTGCCCAGGGCCAGCATGTGTGCAGGATATGTTTCCAGCTGCAGCTCTTGGAAGCCTGGGTTTTGGAGCTGAAGCTGAGGCTAGGAACACTACAGAATATCCATGAGGTGGCGAGAGTTCTGGGTAACATATACAGAGGTGGCCACACTGGAGGCTAAGACTCAAAGGCAAAAAGGGAAAGGGTGACCACCAGGCATAGCAAGAACACTAGGCAGGCACTGCAAGAGTCTCCTGTGGTTACTCACCTGCAAAACAGATTTATCGCTTTGGATACTGTTGCGAGGCAAATCAAATTAGTAACAAAACCATAGAAGATGATTTCCTGGAGTCTATACGGGATGGTTTTCTGGACTAATTGGTTGTGGAACCAATTAGAGATCAGGCCACGTTGACATTGTATTGTGCAATGAGAAAGAAATAATTGACAATCTAGTTGTGAGAGGCCCCTTGGGGACGAGCGAACATAATTTAAAGTATTGGCAAAGATCTGTAGCTTGGGTTGTGGATGAGGTTGTTGACTTGCTCGTCAAGCTGGCTGGTGTTCGTTCAGACGTTTCGTCACCATGCTAGGTGACATCATCAGTGGAGCCTCCAGTGAAGCAATGTTATTCTACTCCGTTTGGAATTTATACTGTCCGGTCTGTTATGGTGAGTACTGTCATTTCCAGTTTTGAACCACATATATAAATCCATACAGATCAAAACCGGAAATGCCAGTACTCACCATAATGGACCAGACAGCATAAATTCCAAGTGGAGGAGAATAACATCGCTTCTTCAAGGCACCACTAATAATGTCACCTAGCATGGTGATGAAATGTCTGAACAAAAACAAGCCAGCTCAGCAAGCAAGTCA